GTTATACGCAAACAATGAATCATGGAACACTGCATCAAAAACTAATGATGTAATGTATGGTGGTTAACATAACAATAAAAAAAATTATTAAAAAAAAAATTAAAAAAAAAGAATATACAAAGTAACAGAGATATTTAAACAACTATGGCTCTAAATTTGCACTGAGCACCTTAAGGTTTCAATTGTCTAAAGTACTATTTATTCCCTTCAATACTCTTAATACTAAATATCATAACCATTTAAGTTTATCCCTTTCATTGATGTCTAATGTTATATTTAACTACCAAAAGCTGATTATTTCACTACTCCAAGCTTACTTACTCCGAACTTGCACTTTACCAATCAGTAATATTAAATAGCTTTAGTTTCCTTGCACATACCATATTGTTATAATGAAAATCATGCTTTCGGGACTTACTATCTTACCACCTTTTCTACTTCATCTGGATTACTTCTATTTATGTTTATATTTCAAAACTTATCTCAGGTATTATCTCCTCTAGAAAGCCTTTCCTAACTACTTCCCTTTTACCCTTAACCCAAGCCCAATTAACTCTCTCTGCTATGATCCCATCATTTTTATGCAAATTTTATCACCATACTTAGTACATGTTAATAATACTGTCTGTGTTTCTACCTCTAGACTGTAATTCCTCATTAATTCTTTGTACCAAACCGACCCCGTATTAATGCATTCCTGCCTCACCATCACCATGTTGATTATATTATTTTCTATTAATGTGTTAATTCTAGTTGAAGTACCCTACTATGAAATCTATAAACACTGTGTATGTGTCTGTCTGTTCCTCTCCCTATCTCTCTCTCATGCTCACCATTCATATTCCTGGTACTCTAAAGTTAATAATAAGCCAGTAAAACCAGCAATCTAGTCATACACCATAGACCAAGTTGATTCAACTATTTTTACCTTCTCAAATAATTATATAGCCCTTTAAATTTCCTGTACTTGATGTTTTTAAAGCTGGTCATTCCAATTTTGTGGTAATCTGGATACAATTTCTTTTTATTGTGGTAAAACACACATAACATAAATTTTACCATTTTAATCATTTTAAGTACACAATTCAGTGTTGTTAGATACACCCACAATATTGTACAACTGCCATTACCCATTTCCAGAACTTTTTCATCATCCCAAGCAGAAACTCTGAATCCACCAAACAGTAACTACCCACTCCCTACTGTTCCAAGTCCCTGATAATTTTTGTCTACTTTCTGTCTCTATGAATTTGCCTAGTCTAGGTATCTAAGTGGAATTATAAAATATTTTTCCTTTTGTGTTTGGCTTGTTTCACTTAGCACAATGTCTTCAAGGTTCATACATCTTGTGGCATATATCGGAATTTCATTCATTTTTAAGGCTGAAGGATATTCCATTGTACATTATGTATTTACCTTATTTTATCTAGTCAGTCACTCACTGATGGACATTTGGTTTATTTCCACCTTTTGGCTACTGTGAATAATGCTGCTGTGAACACTTGTGTGCAAGTATCTCTTTGAGTCTCTGCTTTCGTGTCTTCTCGGTATGCGCACTTAGAAGTAGAATGCTGAATCATATGGTAATTCTATGTTTAACTTTTTTTGAGGAATCAACATACTGTTTCCAAAAATGACTGTATCATTTTATATTCTCATGATAAATGTACCAGGGTTCCAATTTCTCCACATCTTTGCCAACACTTATTTTCTACTTACTTGATAATAACCATCTTAATGAGTGTGAAGTATTAACTGGTTTTGATTTGCATTTCCATAATGACTGTGCTTATTGGCCATTTGGATATCTTCTTTGGAGAAATGTCCATTCAAGTCCTTTGCCTAGTTTTGAAATGGGTTGTTTTTTGTTGTTTCATACAAATATCTTTTTAAAATTTGACTTTCATGAAACATCTGAGCAGTTCAGCAACAATGGTACAATGATTAAAGGTGTGTTTATTCAATATCTCTATATCAATTTACAGAAATGTAAAATAACTATTCATAGAAAAATAGGACATAATAAAATACACTGATATATTTTGTAAGAAAAAAATTTAGATGATCTTACCTACAGTCTTGATTATTAATTAGTAATTCAAGGTTTTGGGCTGATGATGAATCTATCATGGCTGTCTGTTCACTACCCTGGAAACAAATCTTCAGCGATTTTGGTGCATAAACTGAATTTTGAATAAATTCTACATATTTTAATAAAGCTGCAACAGCTGCAAGGCAGTAATACCTGAAAGGTGACCAATGACACTTCACTATAAATCTTTAGAATAAAACGAAGTATTGCTATAGAACATTTATTTCACCTCATTATTAGGAAAATTATAAATATTTGCATAGCACTGCTTAAATTCAAAGGGAAAAAGCACACCCAGTGCTCTTTATTTTTTTTTCAGTGCTCTTGACTTTTGAAAACTAACAAAATAACCTCTAAAACATAAAAGTTGATAGAAACAGACAATTTTCTGAAGTCTGACACTTAAGAACTCCAATAAAATCACAGGCTGGAAGACAATACTCAGTAGTAATTTCCGTCAATGTAATATTCCAAGAACTCAAATAATGTTGAAAAGGTCTGACAGAGTTAGGAGGTTCCTATGTATAGAAAAGTATGTTATGATCTTGGTAAGCTTAGTTACTGTGATTAACTGAATAAACAACTAGTCCAAACTAGCTCAAAGAAAGTATCTATTTAGGTATGTTCTAAAATATACCCTTTCTAGGGTGCCTGGGTGGCTCAGTCTGTTAAGCATCTGCTTTCAGCTCAGGTCATGATCTCAGGGTCCTGGGATAGAGCCCCATGTTGGGCTCCCTGCTCAGGGAGGAGTCTGCTTCTCCCTCTCCCTCTGCCTGCAGCTGCCCCTGCTTGTGTTCTCTCTCTGTCTCTATCAAATAAGTAAAATCTTTTTTAAAAAAATCCTTTTTTTAAAAATATCATTCCCTGTCCTAGCTGAATCTCTTAGGAGTACATGTATGAGATAACAGGAGTACAGCTCAGTGTCTCACATTTCTAGGTTACTGTAGCTACTTGAGCAATTCACTCCAAAGTAAAGTGAGCAGCAACCATAATGGCAACAGATTATGACCAATTTGGAAAAATTCTATATAAATTAAGTTAGCAAAATATGCCTTGTATATAAATTTTAGTTAACTATTTTACTATTTCAATAATCATGGAGTATGTATTGTAAGTCAGGCACTTTTCTAGGGATACAGCAGAAAACAAACAAACAAAAGACCTTGCCCTCATGGAACTTACACTACAGACTTATTACTTTCCTTAAGTCATAACTTACTTGGACTGAACCTCCATTAGGACAGTGCTGAATTCTGTTATGCATAACTGTTCAATGTACTCTAGTCCTTTTGTTTCATTGAAGTATTTCCTTTGGATAGTAGTAAAATTAACATTCTGAAAAGAAGTTTTAATTTCAAGATAAATTTTAAGTTTCATGCAGTTGCCCCAAAACTGCTTATGTAGCTTCAATATCATATAAAGTTTATTTTTTATTATTTATTATTTTCCAGAGTTAAATAGGATATTTTCTTAATGATTTACAAAAAAAGAATGATTATCTATTTTGCTAAGTGAATTATAGCAGTCTATAGCTCTTACTAGACCATATTCACATGACATTTAACTGAATGTGGTAGGTACAATAATAAAAAATAAACATGAGAGCCTCTGCCTTCTATTAATTTTATTCTACAGCAACATCACCACCCAGGTTTTACATTTGGTGTTACATATTCTACCATAATTGAGATAGAGTAGATCCTTATAATGTATTAGCTGCAGAGGAAGAAAATATCAATTCTAGCTACCAAATCTATGAGATGCTATATACATAAGGTGAATTTATTTAGAAGAAAAGGAGATAATGAAACTTTTTTAAAGGAGTAGGAAAAAAAGCATGAAGTTGTAGAGTAAATGGTTTACCTCCTCTGAATAAAAACAATATGTAAGAAAGATAATATAATAACAATGGACTATGAAAGAGCTGTAAGACAGGAAAAAAAAAATTCATGAGGAGATAGGGAATTTGTTATGCACCAAAACTGTTTTAAGTTATATCAGTTAATCTTCACAATAACTCTATGATCTAAGACTTGTTTTAACTACAATTTTCTTACAAGTAAAATTCTAAAAAGTCAAGTAGTTTTTCTAACATCATACATTTGATACGTGCCAGAACTGAGACTTGAATTTAGATTTCTCTGGCTACAAAGTCCTTCCACTTCATGGTGCTTCTCTTCTAATGAAGGTCTTTTTTATGGTAAGTGTGGTAATAATGACAATAACAATAATACTGGTTTTTTTCCCCTCTGCGTATAATACTTTTACCCCAAATACTTCTATGGTTCTGTCTCTCACTTCCTCTAGGGCTTTGCCCAAAAGTAACCTTAATCAATGAGGTCATTTCTCTAATTATGTTATATAAAATACCAATTCTCTAGGAGGTAGATTATTGTCCCTATTTTACTGATGAAAAAACTTAAGTAACTTAACTTGCACAAGATCATGTAGAGTCAAGATCTGAAACAAGCACAGTCTGACTCCTCTATTCTTTTTTTTTAAAGATTTTATTTTTATTTATTTATTTGAGAGAGAGAGAATGAGAGATAGAGAGCACGAGAAGGAAGAGGGTCAGAGGGAGAAGCAGACTCCCCGCTGAGCGGGGAGCCCGATGCAGGACTCGATCCCGGGACTTCAGGATCATGACCTGAGCCAAACTATGCCATACTGCCCTACATCTCAAGTGTAGTGAATATATGCTGTTTTTGCCTTTGAAGGACTCATATCTATTTTACATTCCATGTGGGTGTGGTAACTGTCAATTACAGAGCTCTGTATCCCCACAGAAAGCAAATGACCAGGGATTAATCAATCATAGTGCTTCTACCCTGAGAAACAGTAATTAGTTTAACATGTGGGAATATGAACAAAGCAGGACCCATTAGGGTCCTTCCCTGGAATTTATATATAGATACTGGAAGAAAGAATATATTTTTTCTCTGAATTGGATAAGCTGAGATCACATCAATCTGTAGCCATCATAATTATCTTAAACCTCACAGAAGTAACCTACCTACAATTAAAAAAAAAGATGGTGTTTAAGGTAGATCAAGGGTGCCAAATCAAATAAGTGGATGCCCTGTCATTTTCATTTTATGTATTAATTATCCGTTAGTTTAGGACTTGTATTTGATGAGTACTTTAGGGTAAATATAAAGTTGTTCAAATTATTGTTCTCCAGAATGCTATTATAGAATGGATTTTAAATAAGATTTGAATGTTACTATTGAGAATAAAAATCACTCACCTTGAAATTTTCTGTGATCAGAGTAAACAACTTAGTTGAATTCCCCACAACACAAGCAGTATTTGACATTATTATTTCCAAAGGTGATAAAATTCTGAGTTTAGTGATCACCTAAAATCATTTGAATAAATAATTTCTTAAATGTAAGCTTAGGATTCTCTAAAACCAAACAAGTGGCATATTTTTCTGAGAGATAAGTACTTAAAATTAATTCACAGATACACAAAATTACAACTGTCCTAATTATATATGTCAGTTAAGATATATTTCTAATAGTGATATATTACACATATGCTATATGTATATAAATATATATATCATATATATAAAATATCATAAACATAGGCTATGTTTTACTTCACAATAATTTGTAACAGCTCTAAGCTCAAAAATTAATTTGAACTTATCAGATATATATTCCTAATATAAGATGTTTTAAAATTAATTCTTCTATTTGGTATTTTATCCCTCTCCATCTCCATAAAAAACATAAACACATTCAAAAGTGTAACTATGGTGATTCAATCATTATGACCACACTGGTACAGCTTAGAAGTTGAACAGTACAGAAACACAGATGAGAAACATATGTTTACAACTTATTCTTTTCACAATACAGATGCATTTCTTAGAACTATCCCAGACACAGAAATTCTTTTTTTTTTTTTAAGATTTTATTTATTTATTTGAGAGAGAGAGAGAGCGAACACAAGTGAGGGAGAGGGGCAGAAGGAGAAGGAGAAGCAGACTCCCCGCTGAGTGGGAGTTTGATGTGGGGCTCGATCCCAGCGTCCTGGGATCATGACCTGAGCCAAAAGCAGATGCTTAAACAACTGAGCCACCCAGCGCCCCCACACACAGAAATTCTTAATCAATTTGCCGAACATTTGTTTTTAAAAAAAGTTTTTTTAAAACTCCTGTGTTTTTTTAAATTGCATAAAAATGTGAAACACCCAGAGATAAAGTTACATGCAGTACTAGTATCAGGTAGGTTGTTAGCTATGTTAAAACAATTAATTATTAGGTAGGAAAAGGAAATCTATGTACTGAGAAACCATAAAGAGGAATTAGGAAAAGGAAAAAAATAATAAAATGCTAAAAATAACATAGCATATATATATTTAATAACAGAAATTAGGTCAACTAACTTTTTAGAATATAGAGATTAGAAGCAGATTATTTCTACCCGGTAAATGACAGAAATTTCCATGACAATAGGCCAGTGGCCCAAATTAATGAGAAGTGATAGGAAGTGAAGGCAAGAAGAGGCTAAATTATGACTGACCTAAAAGACCAGTTTCCCTGAACTATGGAAAATAAAATTCAAATACTGTTCAGTGGAAACAACCCTTTGGCAATAGCATTATTAATATATAATCTTTGGAATGAGTCCAGGAACTATTAATTTGAAGAGGTTAATTTTAGAAATTAACAGTAATTTGAAATGTTCATATAACAGCAAAGCACATTATTTTTAGGACAAAATACATTAAAAAAATTAAAATCAGATGTAAAGCAATTTTAATTCAGAGTAGCCTACATTAGAAAAATTGTGAATAAACTTTATTCCATGAAAAAGTAAATTAGGAAAGCAGTGACTTGAAAATCTACATAGTGCTCACTAGGTCAACCATTTTCTAACAGTATAAATACTTACCTTTGCATATGTTGTATTGTCTGCAAACTGAGATAATATAATTTGTGGGCTTTTTAAATCAATACTTGCCATTCCTATTTCACCTCTGGCAAGTCCTCTACCTTCTACAACAGCTACAATAACTGATGGGGAGTGTGTTGAAACCGCAGATGACGATGTAGCTATTAAATTTTTTTAAAAAGAAAATGTATAAACATTAATAATAGTATGTTCTCATTCTTTCCTTTTTTTTATTATGTTCAGTTAGCCAACATAAAGTAGTACATCATTAGTTTTTGATGTAATGTTCAACAATTCATTAGTTGCATATAATATCCAGTGCTCATCACCACACACACTCTCCTGAATACCCATCACTCTGTTACCCCAACCCCCCGACCCCCTCCCCTCCGCACCCCTCAGTTTGTTTCCCGGAGTCCAGAGTCACTCATGGTTTGTCTCCCTCTCTGATTTCTTCCCAGTTTTCCCTCCCTTCCCCGTGTCCTCCATGCTTGTTCTCATTCTTTCTAGTAAGATCTCAAAGCACCGAGTTTAGGACATGGCTCTTAATATCCAAGGAAATAACCTTTTTTTCCTCATCAAAAAACAGCTTTTCATATCCAGACCAAATAAAAATGTTAATTATCAAAGTATTTCGCCAAAACTTAACTTCAAAATTAGAACTAATTTATACATTGCCCTATTCTGCATTTCATTGGAATGGAGTTATGAAGGAACACTGAATTTGGGATGAGAAAAGCTAGATTATTTATCCTACTCTATCATCTAAAAGCTATATGAATTTGAGCAAATTACTTCATAATAAATAATCAAAAATCACAAAATTAATAACTGCCCTGCCTAACTCAAGAGCTGGTATGAAAGGATCAAATGGGATTATATATATGAATGCATTTTATAAAGCATAAAATATTATAGGGACGCCTGGGTGGCTCAGTGGGTTAAGCGTCTGCCTTCGGCTCAGGTCCTGATCCTGGGGTCCTGGGATCTAGTCCTGCATCTGGCTCCCTGCTCCACAGGGAACCTGTTTCTCCCTCTGCCTCTGTCTCTCATGAATAAATAAAATCTTAAAAAAAAATAAAATATTATATAACTATAAACTCCAATTATATGTAACTATATGTGTAATGTTGGATACTTTATTAATGTGCCAAGAATGTTCTAAATTCTTTATTTGAATTAACTCATTTAATTGTCACAATTCTATCAAATAGATATCATTATTTACTCCATTTACCTTCAAGGAGACTGAAGCATGGATGGAACTAATAAAGTCAGAATTTGTACACAAGCAGCCTGACTCCAGATCTGGTGCGCCTAACCTTTACATATTATTACTGATTTTGAGATCTGTACCTTACAAACAATGAATATTCAGGTAAGTTGTTTAACCTTTATAAAGCTACCATTTATTCATTCATCTTGAAAGTAGAAATACCAAACCTTTTCACAAAGTATAAAAATTAAATGCAATAGGGGTGCCTGGGCGGCTCAGTCGGTTGAGTGTCAGCCTTTGGCTCAGGTCATGATCCCAGGGTCCTGGGACCGCCATGTTCGGCTCCCTGCTCAGCAGGGAGTCTGCTTATCCCTCTCCGTCTGCCGCCCCCGCTTGTGATCTCTCTCTCTCTCAAATAAATAAATAAAATCTTTAAAAAAAAAAGAATTAAATGCAATAATATAAAAGGGGTTTTTTTTGTAAAGTATGTGAGATTATTTAAATATGAGGCATTATTCATGGATGAAAAAAATGGCAGGCTAAAAATATCTAAAATTTTATTGTCAAAAAGCAAACTTATTCTCGATTCCCTTGTCAATCTTTCAAGAGAACCCATTTCCTTGGGGCGCCTGGGTGGCTCAGTCTTTAAGCGTCTGCCCTTGGCTTAGGTCATGATCTCAGGGTCCTGGGACTGAGCCCCACATCAGGCTCCCTGCTCAGAGGGAAGCCTGCTTCTCCCTCTCCCACTCCCCCTGCTTGTGTTCACTCTCTCACTGTCTCTCTCTCTGTCAAATAAATAAATAAAATCTTTAAAAAAAAAAAAAAAGAACTCATTTCCTCTCTTTTCCCTCCCTGACCTAGATTCATTTTTTTCTACCCTTCTATTATAATGCCTACAAAATTAAACAATTATGTAATCTTAGCAATTTAAGAGTTCATTTAAAAATGTATTGTCTAGATCTCCAAACCCTCTTTGCCATGAAAGCCATCTTATTCATACATTATGATTGAGTTTATATTAGATCTATGAAGGCAGTTTAAATTCTGCAATAAAATATGACCTTCCTATTTTTAATTGTAAAATAAATACCAATTTCCAGTGGAAATTTAGTACACTCAGAAGATATCTCCCTTAAACTTCTAAAAGAACATTTATACTGTTATCTCTTTTGTAAGTAATAATATAATGAGCATTCTAGTGCCTAAAGCTTTTTTGTGGGTCTATTATTTCCTTAAAGTAGATCCTTAGAAGTCAATTACTGGAACAAGGGAAAACCACCATTTGTTAAGAATCTCATATATATTGCCAAATTTCTTTCAGAATTGTACCAATTTTTTTTTAAAGTTTATTTAAGTAATCTCTACACCCAACATGGAGCTCAAACCAACAACCCTGAGATTAAGAGACACATGATCTACTGACTGAGCCAGCCAGGTGCCCCTGTATCAATTCTTTTTTTTCCAATTTTTTATTCCATCAGCAGTATATGAGAAAAACCAATTTTACTGTGTCTTTATCATTACTAACTTCTGAAATGTATAATTATTTCTAATTTATTTTTTAATTTATTTTTTATTATTTTTTTATTATTATGTTCAATGATTCATTAGTTGCGTATAACACCCAGTGCTCATCACCACATGTGTTCTCAATACCCGGTTACCCCATCATCCCACCCCCTCCCTTCTGTAACCTTCAGTTTAGTTCCCGGAGTCCAGAGTCTCTCATGGTTTGTCTCCCTCTCTGATTTCTCCCCAATTTTCCCTCCCTTCCCCTGTGGTCCTAATTTAATGTATTGACATTTGAATTTGTATTTTTGAAAATTACTATCAAAACTGAATAGAATTTAACATATCCATTTGTTTTCTATATTTTCTTTTGATATGTTCATGTCTTTTTATACAGTTTTTACTAAATCTTAATGTTTTCCATCTGTTTATGAAAATTTTATAAATCAATGAAAATGATTTATAGTTGCTACCAATCTTGATCTCTCAAAGATTTCCACTTTTGTATAGACAATCTTTTTCCTTTCTAATTTCTTCCATTGCTTTTCTGCTATGAAACTCCTCTTTCACTGTGAGATATTTGATATGCATTACTATTTTATTCTAATTTTTTTAGCTGTTTTGTTCACTTTGATCTTTTGTTGAGCAGGACTTTGAGCAGTACCTTTGGTTATCTACCATGTCTGGAATGAGGTAGTACTGTACCAGAAGTACAGATTTAGACTCATTCATAAGCAGTTGGTAATGGTCTAGCTGGATAGTCAGGGACTTGGAAGAAATAGAACTGGAATATAATAAAAAGGAAAGCTGTGGGGAAAGTATGCAGATGAACCTCTTTGAATGGGCATAAACTTCGAAAATATTTATGTCTCATGTGAATGCCCACTAAAGGGCAACTACTATAGAGGGGACTCTTAATAATCAGGTAGATAAAATGCTACACTCTGCAGATGTCAACCAGCCTCTTTTCCCAGCCACCCCAGTGCTTCTTTAGTAGACCTATGAACAAAGCAGTCATGGTAGCAAGGATATGCACAGGCTCAACATCATGAGCTTCCTCTTACCAAGGCTAACCTGGTCAACCACACTGTGAGTACCTAACCTGATCAACATTAAATGCCCCATATAGCACCACTTCCCAGGGGGACAGTGGACCAACCCTTGCCTGGCAAACCTGTAGCCTCTGCCATTTAGTAGGTTCAACTTCACTTTCTCCAAGGAGATGTATACCCCAGACTTGGAGATGAGTCCTGAAAAGAGCCTGCTTCCAAGTAGGACCTCTTGGGCCTCCCCTCAGTTCTAGAGTACCTTACAGAGTTTTCTTATATCCTACAGTGACTTTGTTATCATAGTTTAACAATTCTTTATATTAAATCTCCCTTGTTTAAATCATTATATGGTCTATCTTTAAATTAGATCCAGACTGCTATAGTCTCTGCCTTCATAGATTTTACACTGCAGCAGAGAAAAAAGACAGTTAAAATACCAATATTATTAATAAAATGCAAAGTGAAATGGGAGCACATAGTAGAGAGAATCAACCTAGACTTATAGGATTACAGAAAGCTTTCTGAAAGATGTTAACATTTAAGCTTAGACTTGAGGAATAAATAAGAGTTGACTGTATGAAGAGGGGAAGAAAGTGTTCCTGAGCATAGGAAATACCATGTACAAAGGCCTGAGGGTAAAAGTTTGGAAGTCAAAAATTTTTAAAATACATATCATATAAACAGTAACCTAAAGAAAATGAATTGTTGTATTAATAGCAGACAAAATATATGTTAAAGCAAAAAGTATATTTAGAGATGAAGAGTCATTTCCTACTACAACATAACAATGCTAAATTTTTAGGCTCTTACTAAAATAGCTTCGAAATATGCAAAACAAAGACCTAAAAGAACTACTAAAGAAATAGACAAGTCCACAATCATAATGGGAGTTTTTAATATACCTCTACAAAGAAGTCTTTAGAGATACATACTTAAACAACACAATTAAAGAAATGACCTAATGGGCACCTGGTTGGCTCAGTGGGTAGAGCATGTGACTCTTAACCTCAGGGTCATGAGTTTAAGCCCCACAATCAGTGTAGTTTATTAAAAAAGAAAGAAAGAAAGGAAAAAACCTAATAAACATATATAAAACACAACTGTAAAGATAAAAAGAAAAAAACAAGTGCAGCAGAACATTTACTAAAAATGTATAAAATTAAAAACTTCTGTTCATCAAAGAACATCATAAAAAAAGAAGATATACACAATATATGTACTCATCAAAAGAATATATACTCTGAATATATATTCAGAATAAAGAATTTCTACAAATCTAGAAAAATAAATCTAAAGAAAAATAGGTAAAACACATGAACAGTCATTTCACAAAAAAATGAAAGCTATATGGTCAAAAAGCACACAAAAGGTAATCAACCTCATTAATAACCAGGAAAATACAAATTCAGACTACAATTAGTATCTTACAACTGCTAGACTGGTAAATATTAAGAAGTCTGACAATACCAACTGTTGGAGAGGATCAGATCAAGAAGAACTCTCACATGTTGCTAGTAATAGTATACACTGGTAGAAGCATTTAGAAAAACAATTTGTTAGTATCTTGTAAATGTATACATTCACATGTCCTGTATCCAAGAAATTCCATTGCGTGTACCTTAAGAACACTTACACATGAAGAACTATTTCATTCATTTTCCCCTCAAGAAAAACTAGATTTAGATAAAAACTAAAACTTAAGTATGAAAAAAAAAACCCTGCACAATAAAACTATCAGGATCAACTGCTAGATTTAAATACGTATTATGTATAAAAGGGAAAGTTTTCTCTTTCTCTTACTTTTTTGTCAGAATAGTTAAAATAATGCAAACCTGCATTTATTAACAAATAGTATCAGAAACTACGTAGCATTAACTTAACCTCAAATTATGGATATGGGTAAACTGAAATATTTTTCTTTCAGTCATCTATATCAGTTACAAATAACGTCAAATGAACTTAACCACCCTAATTTATAATTTACAAACCTTAATAGTTTCAAAGTCATCTAGGTCAATATTCCACTCATTTTCATTTTACCTGAATATCCCATTTGTGGTGTCCAACTTTTATAACCTGATCTCTGGGGATTTCCAGCAGACAATGGAGTTTTCAGTATTTGAGGATAATTACTATCTTGTGCAGAAGCCGAGCTTGTACCAAAAGTAAAATCTGATGCAAATGGGTTTTCTGCATTAGATCTTTTGTTTCCAAAATATGAACCTAAATTCAAAAAATTAAATATCAGTTCTAAAAGATCCAGAATTATGTAATATTTTAATCACTATAATTTATATCATGTTCACTTTCTATAAAACTATCTGATGACTTTTAAAAATACAGCAAATTATGACAAATTTAATGGCATTACTGATAAATAATCTTACACTAAAATATAAGGAAAAGTACTTGCTAATATGCTTCTATAAGTGGAGACTACTCTTGATAAAAATCATAAACTACCTTCTAATCTTCAAATATATATGTTTACTTTATATAACAATTACAAGACCTCTTTTCCTCGTTTGATTTAACTTCATTGAAACTCCTTCCTTCCACGCAAATAGTATAAAAAGAGTTTTAGACTCACTTGGATTCATTTCCCTGTTCAGGCACTTTCCTATTGATATATTACCTACTAAACAGAACTGCCATAAAATTAGAAAGAACAGCCTACCTTAGGGTCCTGGCACATAAAACTTCTTAAAAATATATTGGGGCTCTGTGATTCAACAGTCTTACACAATTCACAGCACTCACCATAGCACATACCCTCCCCAATGTCTATCATCCACAGACCTGTACTTCTGAAACAAATAATACATTACATGTTAAAAAGAAAAAAAAAAGAAGAAGATAGCAGGAGAGGAAGAATGAAGGGCGGGGATCAGAGAGGGAGACGAATCATGAGAGACTATGGACTCTGAGAAACAAAGTGAGGGTTCTAGAGGGGAGGAGGGTGGGGGATGGGTTAGCCTGGTGATGGGCATTAAAGAGGGCACGTTCTGCGTGGAGCACTGGGTGTTATACACAAACAATGAATCATGGAACACTACATCAAAAACTAATGATGTAATGTATAGTGATTAACATAACATAATAAAAAATATATATATATTGGGGCTCTTTTCTCCTATTCCCCTTCACTTCCATGACAACTCTGATTCTCCTTAAACCAGCAGTTTCCTTTGCCAGATTCTTTTTCCTCTGTCTGCCTCTTTACTTTTGGCTTCTCAGGGTTCCACACTTTTTTACCTTCTCTCACAAATTAGCATTATCCATCTTTTCTGGGCATCTCATCTCTTATATTGGTCTCTATTAATATCTATTTCTAGTTATCTATAACCCTCAACCTTCATGTAGAGACCTAACTGCTCTTAAAATGTAAAGCACAGTTTGGCAAACATTTTTAATAAAGGGCCAGATGGTAAATATTTTAGGCTTTTTGGGCAATACTGTCTGTAGTAATTACTCAACTCAGACACTATATTCAGAAAGCAGCCACAGACAATAGTAAATGAATAAGCATGGCTATGTTTCAATAAAACTTTACTTCCAGAGGGGGCAGAAAAAGATGGCGGAGGAGTAGGGGACCCTATTCCAACCGGTCCCCTGAATTGAGCTGGATATCTACCAGACCGCTCTGAACACCCACGAAATCAGCCTGAGATGTAAGAAGATAGGTCTGGATCTCTACAAACAGAATATCGTAGGCAGTTGGTTTCAAGGTATGAAGCGGGGAGCCCTGATTCCACGGGCAGATATAGGAAAATAAATGGAAGGGGGAGGGAGCCAACGGGATCCTGCATCGCAGGTTCACAAAAGCTTCCTGTGCTGGGGACGGGGCACAGACTCGCAGACCATTAGCGGTGGGAAAAGGACATTAGGGCAGCCCGCCGGACTGAAACCCAGAGCAGCAGGGCGTGCGTGTGAACTAGGGGCACTGGCGGTTTTAGAAGCACAAAGGGCAGAGACTGTTCCAACCTGGAGGCAAGGACTGGGAGTGCTGCTGAGGGGCACACAACCCAAATAGCTGCAGTTTTTAGCACCATAGACAGAAATGGAGATAGTATGGCCTGGAGAGGTCACTGAAGAACAGCTGCGAACTCTCTGTTCTGAGGCAGAGGGTTGGAAATGGTCTCTTCTGCTCTACTCTTGGAAGAGACATGGAAAGCTGCCAGGGAAAGCCACCAGAGAACAAAAGCCCCCAAAAACCTGTTTTCACTGAGCCCATCCCTCCCACAGGGAGCAGGGCAACTCTGCCCAAACAGGGTTGCCTGAGTAACACTGCAGCAGGCCCCTCCTCCAGAAGACAGGCTGGGAAAACAAGAGGCCAACAACCCTAGGGTCCCTACAAAACAGGTGCATTTTGCTTGGGTTGTGGTCAATAATTTGGACTCTATACATTCCCTCAACCACCCATCAACAGAATGACTTGGAGGAGGAACCCCCAAAATAGGAAAGACTCAGAGACTGTGACTTCTGCCACAGATTTACAAATGGATACAGATATAACCAAGATGTCGGAAACACACTTCAAAGTAACAGTTATGAAGACGGTAACTAGAATGGAGAAATCGGTTAATGGTAACATAAGGTCTCTAAGGGCAGAAATGAAAGCTGAACTGGCAGAACTTAAAAATGCTATCAGTGAAATCCAATCTAATCTAGATACTCGAACAGCTAGGGTAAACGAGGCAGAAGAACTAATTAGTGATCAAGAAGACAAACTGATAGAAAAGAAAGAAAAAGAGAAAGCCTGGGAGAAACAACTTAAAATCCATGATAACAGAATTAGAGAAATAAGTGACACCATGAAACTTTCCAATGTCAGAATTATTGGGATGCCTGAGGGGGTGGAGAGAGAGAGAGGACTAGAAGATATATTTGAGCAAATCGTAGCTGAGAACTTCCCTAATCTGGGGAATGAAACAAACATTCGTGTCCTAGAGGCACAGAGGACCCCTCCCAAGATCAAGGAAAACAGACCAACACCCCGGCATGTAATAGTAAAACTCGCATATCTGAGAACCAAGGAAACCATCTTAAGGGCAGTTAGGGGGAAGAGATTCCTTACGGACAGAGGGAGGAACATCAGAATAACGTCAGACCTATCCACAGAGACCTGCCAAGCCAGAAAGGCCCAGCAAGACATATTCAGGGTACTAAATGAGAAGAACATGCAGTCAAGAATACTTTATCCAAGAAGGTTGTCATTTAGAATGGATGGAGAGATGCAGAACTTCCAAGACCAGCAGAAACTGAAAGAATATGTGACCACTAAGCCGGCCCTGCAAGAAATATTAAGGGGGTTCTCTAAAAGGAGAAAGACCCCAAGAGTGATATACAACAGAAATTTACAATCTGTAGAAACAAGGACTTCACAGGCAACATGATGACAATAAATTCATTATCTTTCAATAATCACTCTCAATATGAACAGCCTAAGTGGTCCCATAAAACGGCACAGGGTTGCAGATTCGATAAAAAGACAGGACCATCCATGTGCTGTCTGCAAGAGACCCATTTTGAACCTAAAGATACATCCAGACTGAAAGTGAAGGGACGGAGATCTACCTTCCAAGCCAACGGACCTCAAAAGAAAGCTGGGGTAGCAATTCTTGTATAAGACAAATTAGATTTTAAGCTAAAGACTGTAGTTAGAGACACACAAGGACACTATATCATTCTTAAAGGGTCTATCCAACAGGAAGATCTAACAATTGTAAATATCTACGTCCCCACCATGGGAGCAGCCAACTACATAAGCCAACTGTTAACCAAAATAAAGAGTCATATTGATAATAATATGTTAATTGTAAGAGACCTCAATACTCCACTCTCAGCAATAGACAGATCATCTAAGCAGAAAATCAACAAAGAAACAAGAGCTTTGAATGACACACTGGACCAGATGGACCTCATATATATATACAGAACATTCCACCCTAAAACAACAGAATACTCATTCTTCTCGAGCGCACATGGAACTTTCTCCAGAATAGACCACATACGGGGTCAAAAATCAGGTCTTAACCGATACCAAAAGACTGAGATCATTCCCTGCATATTCTCAGACCACAGTGCTTTAAAACTGGACCTCAATCACAAGAAAAAATTTGGAAGAAATTCAAACACTTGGAAGCTAAAGACCACTCTGCTCAAGAATGTTTGGCTCAACCAGGAAATCAAAGAAGAACTTAAACAATTCATGGAAACCAATGAGAATGAAAACATATCCATCCAAAACCTATGGGATACTGCAAAGGCTGTCCTAACGGGGAAACACATAGCCATTCAAGCCTCACTCAAAAAAAACAGAAAAATCCCGAATTCGCCAACTAACTCTACACCTTAAAGAACTGGAGAAAAAGCAACAAAGGATGCCTAAGCCACACATTAGAAGAGAAATAATTAAGATTAGAGCAGAGATCAATGAATTAGAAACCAGAAACACAGGAGATCAGATCAACAAAACTAGAAGCTGGTTCTTTGAAAGAATTAATAAGATTGATAAACCACTGACCAGACTTATCCAACAGAAAAGAGAAAGGTCCCAAATTAATAAATTATGAATGAAGGGGGAGAGAGCATGACTAACACCAAGGAAATAGAAACAATTACTAGAAATTATTATCAACAACCATATGCCAATAAATTAAGCAACGTGGGAGAAAGGGAGTCCTTCCTGGAAACCTATAAGCTCCCAAGACTGAAACAAGAAGAAATTGACAACCTGAATAGGCCAATAACCAGTAATGAGATTGAAGCAGTGATCAAAAACCTGCCAAAAAACAAGAGTCCAGGGCCTGATGGATTCCCTGGGGAATTCTACCAAACATTCAAAGAAGAAATTATACCTATTCTCCTGAAGCTGTTTCAAAAAATAGAAACAGAAGGAAAGCTTCCAGACTCATTCTATGAGGCAAGCATTACCTTGATCCCCAAACCAGGCAAAGACCCCATCAAAAAGGAGAATTTCAGACCAATATCCCCGATGAATATGGATTCCAAAAATCTCAACAAAATCCCAGCTAATAGGATCCAACAGTACGTTAAAAGGATCACCCACCACGACCAAGTGGGACTGATCCCAGGGATGCAAGGGTGGTTCAACATTCGCAAATCAATCAATGTGACAGAACACGTTAATAAGAGGAGAGAAAACCATACGGTCCTCTCAATTGATGCAGAAAAAGCATTTGACAAAATACAGCATCCTTTCCTGATTAAAACTCTTCAGAGTACAGGGATAGAGGGAACATTCCTCAAGTTCATAAAATCCATCTATGAAAACCACACGGCGAATATCATCCTCAATGGGGAAAAGCTGAGAGCCTTTCCCCTAAGATCAGGGACACGACAAGGATGCCCACTCTCGCCACTATTGTTCAACATAGTACTAGAAGTCCTAGCAACAGCAATCAGACAACAAAAAAAATAAAAGGTATTCAAATTGGCAAAGAAGAAGTCAAACTCTCTCTCTGCAGATGACATGACACTTTATATGGAAAATCCAAAAGATTCTACCACCAAATTACTAGAACTCACAGAAATTCAGTAATGTGGCAAGATATAAAATCAATGCACAGAAATCAGTTGCTTTCTTATACAATAACAATGCAACTGTAGAAAGAGAAATTAGAGAATCGATTCCATTTATAATAGCACCAAAAACCGTAAGATACCTCAGAATAAACCTAACCAAAGAGGTAAAGGATCTATACTCTAGAAACTACAGAACACTCATGAAAGAAATTGAAGAAGACACAAAAAGATGGAAAAACATTCTATGCTCATGGATCAGAAGAATAAGCATTTTTAAAATGTCTATGCTGCCCAGAGCAATCTATACCTTCAACGTCATGCCAATCAAAATTCCAATGACATTTTTCAAAGTGCTGGAACAAACAATCCTAAAATTCGTATGGAATCAGAAAAGACCCTGAACCTCCAAGGAAATGTTGCAAAAGAAAAACAAAGCTGGGGGCATCACGCTGCCTGATTTGAAGCTATGTTACAAAGCTGTGATCACCAAGACAGCATGGTATTGGCACAAAAACAGACATATAGACCAATGGAACAGAATAGAGAGCCCAGATATGGACCCTCAACTCTATAGTCAAATAATGTTCGACAAGGAGGAAAAAATATGCAACGGAAAAAAGTCTCTTCAATAAATGGTGCTCGGAAAATTGGACAGTCATATACAGAAGACTGAAACTCGACCATTCTCTAACACCATACACAAAGATAAATTCAGAATGGATGAAAAACCTCAATGTGAGACAGGAATCCATCAAAATCCTAGAGGAGAACATAGGCAGTAACCTCTTCAACATCGGACACTGCAACTTCTTTCAAGATACATCCCCAAAGGCAAGTGAAACAAAAGCAAAAATGAACTTTTGGGACTTCATCAAGATAAAAAGCTTCTGCACAGCAAAGGAAACAATCAACAAAACTAAGAGGCAACCCATAGAATGGGAGAAGATATTTGCAAATGACACTACAGACAAAGGGCTGATATCCAAGATATAAAGAACTATCAAACTCAACACCCCAAAAACAAATAATCAAGTCAACAAATGGGCAGAAGACACGAACAGACCCTTTTCAAAAGAAGACACAGAAATGGCTAACAGACACATGAAAAAATGTTCATCATCATTAGCCATCAGGGAAATTCAAATCAAAACCACATTGAGATACCACCTTACACCAGTTAGAATGGCAAAAATTGACAAGGCAAGAAACAACAAATGTTGGAGAGATTGTGGAGGAAGGGGAATCCTCTTACACTGTTGGTGGGAATCCAAGTTAGTACAGCCACTTTGGAAAATAGTGTGAAGGTTCCTCAAAAAATTAAAAATAGAGCTACCTTATGAAGGTTCCTCAAAAAATTAAAAATAGAGCAATTGCACTACTGGGTATTTACCCCAAAGACACAGATGTAGTGAAAAGAAGGGCCATATGCACCCCAATGTTCATAGCAGCAATGTCTGCAATAGCCAAACTGTGGAAAGAGCCGAGATGCCCTTCAGCAATGAATGGATAAAGACGTGGTCCATATATACAATGGAATATTACTCAGACATCAGAAAGGATGAATATCCAACTTTTACATCAACATGGATGGGACTGGAGGAGAGTATACTAAGTGAAATAAGTCGAGCAGAGAAAGTCAATTATCCCATGGTTTCACTTATTTGTGGAACATAAGGAATAGCTGGGTTAGCCCAGTGATGGGTATTAAGGAGGGCATGTATTGCATGGAGCTCTGGATGTTACATTCCATCAATGAATCATGGAACGCTACATCAAAAACTGTACGGTGACTAACATCACATAATAATATTAAATTAAATTAAAAAAAAAAAACTTTACTTCCAGACACTGAAATCTGAATTTCACATGATTTTCACATGTCACAAAATACTCTTCTTCTTTTACTTTTCAACGCTTTAAAAATCCAAGAACCATTCTTTGGTCTATACCTGCATTGTTCAATGTAGTAGCTACTGACTGCATTTAACAATTTAAATAAAAATTAACAAAAATTAAAAATTCTTTTGCCATACTAGCCACATTTTAAATGCTCAAAAGCCACATTTGGCTATTGGCTACCATATTAGACAGCACAGATATGAAATATTTCTATCATCACAGAAAGTTCTATCAGTGTGGCTCTATGTCCCTAAATTTATCTTTTAGATGTAAACTTTTAGGTATCTTTCCAGAACTTTTAAATGTTCAAAAATATACTCATTATCTTTCCCTCAAAACTTATTTATAACCAGTTTTGGCCAACTATAACATCTTGTACCTTGTCACTCAAGTCATAAACTCAGAATTCATTCTTAATTCCCCTTTCATCAATCCTAACACCCAATCAGCAAGTCTAGTAAATTTTTTTTTTAATACCACTAAAATTTCTGTCTGTCTTTATTCCTATTAGCTCATTTTAAGCCCGTATCTTCTTCAGGCCTTCTGCAAGTCTCTTAATTGATCTCCTTGCTTCTAGGATTATGCCTCTCTAATCCATTCTTCACAACATCACCAGGGATCTTTCTGAAAAAGAAATTTCACCATATATCTCCTTTCTCACAATTCCTCAGTGTCTCCCCATACCCACCATAGGATAAAATCAGACTTCTTTACACAGGTACCGGTAGGAATTGGATGACACATTCAAACTAGGATACTTTGAGAAGTTTGATAAAGAAAATATTTGCAAAAGGGTGAATGCAGTATTAGGATATCACCGTACAGAAGTGTACAGAACCCATGTGCTGCACTACACAGACTTAAAGGAAATAAGGAAGGGAGTGGCTACCAGGAACTAGAGACAGAGAGGCCTGTTTCTTGTCCTCAGGTTACTTTTAGACTCTAAGCTCCTTCTGGAAACTCACTTGTCTTAGTTGCCCTCCAATTTCCTTGACCTCTGTTTTGCTGTATCTTCTTTATCTTCTCCCCTCTGGCCTCAAATATACTGGTAACTTTCAAATCTCAATCTCTCCTAAGTTTCTTTTCTTAATTCAAGATCCATATATTCAATTGCCTCAGTATGACCATATGGATATTCTAGAGGTTCTTCACATTTAACATGTCCATACAGAACACATTTTCCTTCTAAAAGTTGCTTCTCCTACAAAACCCACTTTATTAGGAAATAGTACTACCATTTATCCAGGCACAAAAGCCAGAGTTTGATGCAATAATTCACACATAAAATAATGAGAGCCTATAATGGCACAAAGACAACAGAGAGGAAAAGAACTATTTAAAAGATAAACATAGGACTTATTAACTGGATGTTGTGAGGAAACGAAGTCTTACAGGTTTAAGATTTAGACAATCCAATGATTGAGTTAAGTAAAAGAAACAGCTCAAGGAACTGTAGAGAGATGAATTCAATTAATAATATACTGAGTCTGAGGTGTCCATTGGTCTCCCACTAGAAACTTCAGAAGACAGTCTGTAATAGGAATCTGGAGCATAAGGGAGATCTGAGCAGTGATAATCATAACCAAGAAGCGGCCTAGAAAAAAAAAACCCCAAAACTCTAAAAACAAACCATAATTTGGGAACTGATAACGGTGAGCAAAGCAGTTCTCTGAAAGACAGGAGAAAAACGGGAGAGTAGAATTAGGGAAACCAAATTAAGAGTTCAAGAGAAAACTGGTCGAGAACATTAATCACAGGGGAACTGAAAAGTGACCACTGGATTTGGCATCTGTTACCTTACCATTATGCTGCAATGGTGTGTGAAAAAAAGTGATAGTTTTTCCATGAAGGGAGATTTGTCCAAATATAAAAGGGTTGAACTCAAATTGAAAGACATTTTTAAATACTTAAACATATTATTCAACTGAATTAGATAAAATGCTAAATTTAATCTATTTTTATCCTATCTTAGTTCAGGAGCCAAGAGGAGCCACTCCTGTCACCAATCTGCTGCACAAATTCTGCCATTTGCCATATGCTTTTGGGAGGGCGGAAAAGGGGCATTATACCGGATGTTACTGCAGCCTTCCTCAGAACTGAGCCATTACCATCGCGGCCTCGTAATAAAACCAATTTGAAGAGTCCAGTCTTTGACTCACTCAGACCCATCAAATTCCTAGAGCACCCCATTCTCACCCTCTCAACCACATCACAACTCAAACTTCTCTGAGGTAAACACCCGCCACCGCTCCCCGAAACCTCCAGGAGCTGCGGACCTCTAGCTGACCGGTGAATCCACCCAACCACTCCTTGCCTTGGGCTGGCCGGGCGCGAGGCGGGTGGCGAGGGAGACTGGCGCTGCTGCTCCGGTCGCCGGCGGCTCCAGATGTGCCAGAAGGGCTGGACGCAGAGGCCTGCACTGAAGGGCGGCTCTGAGGAGTCTCCTGGAGTCCGAAATTATAGCGAGGACCCTGAGACCGAGCCTCTCCCAATGAGGGGGAAGCCGCAGGGACAGAAGGCGAGACTGATAAGACCTCAGGCCTCAGCATCCTCACAAATCTTCCCAAGCAGAAGCCTGAGATCGCTGAGCGCGCCTTCACCGACCCGAAACACAGAAGCGTCGCGGAAGAAGGCCCGAGCACCGCGCGCAGACGCACGGAGCGCCAGTGCGCAGGCGCAGCGAGCCCCAGCTTCCCCCAGCCGCGCCTGAGGCCCTATTTCCATCGCTGCCAGTCCCTTCACCTGCCACCGGATTTGGCTTTGAGCTTAATCTGAGGTACAGCTTTCTTCAATCTGCAGGCATCAGCTGAACGGAATTCTTTAGAGCCTATCAATGACCATCCAATTTGGTAGCCCCACTATTCTCACAGCACTGTATTTTACTAAAGGTGTCTGGTGCTTTTGAATCACACCCCCACATACACTGAGCTTTTTAAATTTACCAACTGTTCACCACTGGACACCGAGCGCCTATGATGGTGTAAACAGATGTGTTCTAACTGCTCTTATGGAGAAACACAGAAAGGAGCCATTGACCCTCTACAGCTTAAATATCCACAAGGCTGTTTTAGTTATCACAAAATACTCACCCAATAAGCACATGACTGTATGCACAGTACCCTAAGAACCAGGTCAAGAATGGATGGGATCAGGGCGCCTGGGTGGCTCGGTTGTTAAGCGTCTGCCTTCGGCTCAGGTCATGATCCCAGGGTCCTGGGATGGAGGCCCGCATTGGGCTCCCTGCTCTGCGGGAAGCCTGCTTCTCCCTCCCCCACTCCCCCTGCATGTGTTCCCTCTCTGGCTAGGTCTCTGTAAAATAAAATCTTAAAAAAAAAAAGAAAGAAAGAAAATACTTTGGATACTGCTATTGGAAGATATTCAAACATTACTGAACGTAACTTGTGGAATCACTACGTTGTACACCTGAAACTAACACAACACTGTATCAACTATACTTCAATAAAAAAACTGAATTCATTCAACTGCTAAATTACCTCAGTAAGTCAGGTGTCTTAACAGTATAGTTCACCCAGATGCAATGATTGGAATCCTCAAAATTCCTTCAAATACTTCCAGTGATACCATTTACATAAGATTATATTCCACCCAGTTCCAAACTTCCAGAAAAATAGTGGCAATTCAGCCTCAACTCTTTAGTGAACTGTCAAAATAATGGTAGACATTTCAAGTATCTCATGTAAGCACTTTTTCATCTAGATGTTACAACTGACATTGGTGAATGATGTCTAAGTGAACCACAACTACTCATTCTTGAGAAAACTCTACCCCAACTGTGGGGCTTGAACTGACCACCCTAAGTCAAGTGGCATGCTCTACCAACTGAGCCAGCCAAGAGCCCCACTAATCATTCTTAAAACTACTAGAGTATTGCCAACATGCTTGAGAAAATTTCAACTTCCATTTCAAGAAAAATGTTCATTGAAATACTTTTCATCAAGAATGTAAAACTCTCAGAATACTTGTTCTCACCTGTCTTTTGAAAAACATTTTCAAAAACATTGTGGAAACTATCAACTTCTATTTCCTTAAAGGCCAACAATGCCTTAGGTAAATCGCTGGCATGCGAACATAAAAATGTTTAAAAAATAAGAACCTAGTCCAGAATGCAGTCCTATTCTAAGATGGTGAAATGCGCCATTTACCTAAATTACTGTGATCAATTCAGAGTAACCATAAACAGTCCCCAATTTCAACAGCCATTTATTCTGGTGCATCTTTTAATTCATATATGGATGGGTTTATCAATTATCAGTTAACATTCTCATGGATATAGATCAATTTACATTAGCCATTATATAATATGAAAGAAGCACATGGGAAAAACAAGTAGAACACAAGACTTAACAGTTCTTTAAATTGAGTTTGCTGTTAAGGAAACATACAAATAAATACAATGAAGCAGAAACAAAATACTGTACTCAATAGCATTGCAGAAGGAAATCTAAAGCTGAAGATAAAGATCTTTATTTTACATTATGTATAATTACATAATTTATTAAAATTAATACAATTCATATACAAAATAGTGACACAGTAGTCATTTTTAAGTTTGATCAGCACTTTACAGAAATGTTAAGATGGCAAAACTATACTAAGCAATGTCTCATGTCTCCATCAATGTCTAGCTCACTAGTTCAGGCTGAACATTAACTCTCCGAAGTACTTCTTCAGGCATGCAAAAAACAGGACTAACAGGTTTAATCTGTTCTTCTCCCAAAAGCGACAATCCAGCAATTCCAAATAAAGTATGAAAAGGATCTACCTATTTAAAAAATAAGAATTTATAGAGTATTACAAAAATGAAAACTTCTAAAACCCTACTTCTGAACAAGTTATATTGGATTCCATTGTATTTACTTGAATAAATGCTTAGTTTTCTAAAATAAAAATGATGGCTTCAAATTGTTTTTTCTTTTTACATAGGACCTTTTACCATACAGTATTTTTTGACAATTAAGTGATGAGAAATTTCTGTAAACTTGTTATATCCTTCATATATTCTCAAATAAAAATTACCAGAAAAGTATCCTGCTTTAAAAGCAACACTTTAAATATCATCCATTTCTAAGTCTGGAAATGCCATAAAAGTAACTCAAAGCAATGTCTATTGCATGAACATGTCAGAAATATACTTGCCATATCTCCTGGTCGGTCTGCAAATCCTCCTGTTTCTTCATCTTGACATGCTAAAATGAAACTTCGAAGTTTCTCTCTATCAATCCAATGAAGCCTTCCAATTATCTTTAGGGAAGCCAACACCCACCATGAATAGCATACATCTGGTAACTAGGAGGGAAAAAAACACAAAGCAGTTGCCACAATTTTATCCTCTAGTCCAAACATGGGGTGGTCGTGGAGATTAAGGGATATACTAACATGCAGTTAGAAATGCTAAAATCCATAAATACAATTAGAATTAAAGATAATCACTGGCATAAAGACCAAACATTTCAATCCAGACTCCTATGCTAAATGTTTCAGAGTTTAGGTATGCAGTGACAACTATCCCTGTACCTTTATTTTATCTGCAGTGAATGCCCCTTATCCAAGAAGCTGGTGATTAACGCTCACGAAATCCATGGTGACATAGGTTCTATTTCCCTAGGTAGAGCATTTTCAACAAATGCTGTCCAGGTAGATATATACTTGCTTAAAAATAACCTAAAGCCTAGCTCCTCAAAACATGGGTCACTTGGGTTTAAAGAATGCAGAATATCTCACCTCGATTCCAGAATTATTTCAACAAAATCGGGTGATTCATAGGCACATAAAAAACTGTCCTACACTGTTAAGTGCAGATTCCTGGCAATCCCAACCCTGACCCATTTTCTAACTGTTGAAAGTTGCATACGTTTTTCACTGGATTTTAACTAGCTAGAAACCACCTGTGGGTATTTCCCAACCCAACTTGTTCATAAATATTGAGCAAGCAAAGCTAAAACAAAAATACAATGACCCAAAGGAACCACCATGCCCTATCATAATACTGTCAAGGATCCAGCAAGCTACAGCCCTTGAGTCAAACCTAGACTACCCCCAAAGAATTTTTTTGTATCTGTAAATTGATTTTTAAAATACGCAGTCTAAAAATAAAAAAAAAAAAACCCAAAACAGGAAAACAAAATACACAGTCTTGTGATAGGAAAGTGATATGAAACTCAAATGTAACCACTGTTACTTTACTGAAAAACAGCCATGCCCACCGGTTTCTTAAGGTCTATGGCACCATCTGCTCTTTAGGGTAGTAATGTACTTGCCAACAAGACTGTATATCCTACAGAACTGAAAACATTTACTACCTGGGCCCTTACAGACCCAATTTAGAACATAATGTGTGAGAGCTAAAGTGAACTGCGGATGTGCAAAGGAAAATTTGATTCCCTTTTCTCCAAATCAAAATGTCAAAAACTGGGTCTTTCTTAAAAAATTTAATAAGGTTTTTAAATAAAAATTTTGTAACATAATTTTTAAAAATCACTGATTTGGTAAATTGTCTTTTCACACCGATAAGTAGACATGGAGATTTCTGTACAAGATACATGTATTCATTTAACAGTACTCTTTGGGTCTCAGATATAAAGAAAGCTTTTAATACAGGACTTATTTTCCCTGGTATAAATCTAGAACTAAAAGTTTAAAAGAAATAGCTTCATTTCAATGCCTGAAAAATACAAGACCTTCAGGATAGGGAAACGACACTTTAAGAATACATACTATGTCTGAATACAAATATATTTCAAAGCTATTTGACATTTTTTTGTTTTCCTTCAGGTAACTCCAGAATCCACTTCAGGATAGGGAAAACCAGAAGACAGCTTTGTCATAAAAAGATCATCAGAAGGCAGCATACACATCTTTTCCTCAAGTCTTTTAAATGGATACCATAATTAATAAGTAGCTCCACTCCAGTTGTTTTACTTTTGCCAAGAGCATTTTTTTAGGAAGTACAACTGAAAAATTGCAATGGGGGGAGAGGTAAAAGCACATTATCAATTTACAAGAAGCTATAGTGGTTATAAAGCTATTAGAACACGGTGTATCTTATGAAACAATACCTTCTCTGGCCTTCCATTGAGTCCACCTGATGGTAACTGTCGTTCACAAAGCCACCAACCGAGTAAATCAGAATTTACTTGATGCAACTGGCTAGTAATAGCCAGAAATCCTGTGCAACAATAGATCTAAAATTACAGACATAACGTACATGTGTATAATAATTTTTCAACAGTAGTGATAAAAACTACTCAATTAAAATGCCATTTTATGTCTAGCTTTCTATTGACAAGTCAGAATTGCAGACACATAAATATCACGTTAACTATGTGAACAAATCCAAACATACTAATTCTAGGATACAATTCTGCAATGAAATACTGTCAACATTTCCTCATGGCTAAAAGAAAAAATTTTTTTTAAAAGATTTTATTTTTAGAATACCCAACATGGGGTTCAAACTCACAACCCCAAGATCAAGAAATCTTTTTTTTTTTTAAAAGATTTTATTTGACAGAGAGAGAGAGAGAGAGCGAGAGCAGGAACACAAGCAGGGGGAGTGGGAGAGGGAGAAGCAGGCTTCCCGCGGAGCAGGGAGCCCGATGCAGGGCTCGATCCCAGGACCCTGCTGGGATCA